TCAGGCAAGTTTCACCATAGGAAGCGATGTATCAGCGATGACCTGCTCACTGGACCCGCCTTAAATAGTAAAACCACCAGGAGGACTTAAATGGTTGCAGCTGTGTCAATTGCTGATCCAATTAGTGACAGATGCTTCACATTCTCCTCTGGTTCTGGGTCAGACTCTGGCTCCAACATGTGAGACTGGATGGACAAGTCTTCTTTTGTTGACATCTTTTAATTTTGTAAATAAAGCGTTTCTGTGAGGCAAAATAGTTGTAAACCCCTCTATCAAACTATTATGGACCGGTCTGGAAGCTGGAGGAGGACATTCAAACTGAAAGAGGCAGGCTCAAAACGAGATGATCTGAGACACACCTCAGAAAATGGGTGAAAGAGGGGCTTGTGGAGTTACAATGTAGAGGAAATCAGACTGAAGCGTTGCAGTTTCACTTTCCCAACTAAATTATTTAAATGTGAGAAGAATGATATGTCCACTGTAATACAAGCCTTTACCAAATTTCATCCCAACCTTTTCCAGTTTGTATTCTTTGAAAAGTAATTAACCACTCATTTTACACACATGACATATACACATTCTGGATCATTTAAAAATGAGGTGGTGTACCTGCAGAGAAGGGCAGGAAGGCTTCTCTCTTCACAAACTTTCCACTGGAATCCAGGAAGTGTCCTGGATTGAAGGTGTCTGGAGTCGCCCATTCATTCTTGTCAAACAGCACAGAGGTCAGGACGGGCATTATAGATGTTCCCTATTCACAAACAAAATCCACAGGAACACACTGAGGTAAGCTGCTAAACCATCCCTTAACAAACGACCTCTAAGATTGTACAGTGATCGTACCTTTGGTATAAAGTAACCACCCACAGTTGTGTCTTTGGCTGCAACCCTGAGTCCATTGAGAGGAACTATGTTTCCAAACCTCTGGATCTCATGGATGACAGCATCAGTGTACGGCAGGTTTGGTCTGTCTGCCATAGAGGGCTGCCGGACCCGTCCGATCACATTATCAATCTCTGCCTGGACTTTTTCTTTTTGAAAAAAAAAAGAGAGAAAAAAAACAATCAAATCATTATTATTTGTTGCCCCTTTAAAAATGGATGTATTTCCCTGATCTTAAAACACCAAAGACTGTAATAAATACCTTCATTACTGTTTGGTCTCTATTGTCACAGTCTCTGATATTTTCAAACAAGCTATAGGCCTTTTTCAAATGACAGTCGTGAATTCTCTGAATCTTTTGAACGACTCTTTAAAGCGGATTGGAATCGAGTCAGATATAACTGGGAACAGTTCCTCTTTTTATTTTTTGTCCTACTCAGATGCATGCACTTCTTTGCTTTTCCCCTGATATGAAGAAGAACAGGCAAAGGGGAGAGGGGATGCAAGTCACTTACATTGTATGTCATAACGTATGACCAACATCATCACAAACAGCCATCTGTAATGACATATTGACCTTTTTACAGTTATAAAGTGTATGTCAAAGTCAGTAATTTACGATGCATTTGGTTACACCCCCACAGAAATGGTGCTTTTCACGCATCAACTATCGCAACCTACATTCAAAAAGTAAGTACAACTCAGACAAATAGAAGTCAAAGGTCATTTAACTTTATGCCTTTTGAAGCCATCTCAGCCTGAAGTGAGAACATCAAATTTAAATGACTTTTTCCATTTTCATATTTTAGACTTAGTTTTATAAAACTTCACTGTTCAGTTTTTAAAAATCACTAGCAATGGCAGCGGAGGAAGTGAATGAAGTCATTCAGTCGTGTTGACAAGGCTTCTAAATTAAATTAATTTGTCTCACAAAGCCTGCAGGACTTACAGTATTTACAGCCATCTTGTTCAGTTCAGTACTTCTCTCTTCACAGTGGGCGATAGTTGTTTACAGCACACATAATTTCTGGTTAGCTTCTTAGCTTAGCTTCCTTCGCTTTAGAGCAGGCACACTACAATCGTCACGGCCAAACGTTAAAATCAGATCCAATCATTTTAAACTTTAACAGAGTCCATGCTTCCAGCTAGAAATCGTTTTTCAAAAGAGGGTCCAGACCTTCTGTATGAAGCAAAGCGAAGAACAAGGGGCTGATTTTTACCAAGCTAGAGTTCAGGATACAGGAGCCCTTCATCTGAGCACCATCCTGCCTGATCACCAAGACCCTCAGCTCACTGTTTGAACCAGATGCAAAAGGAGACACAATTGTCTCAAAACACTGACCCAGGTATCCTCACGGTAGACCCTCAACTACCAAGACCACCTATGCTGTCACTCTCTGCCTTATACAACCCCTGGCAAAAAGTATGGAATCACCAGTCTTAGATGAGCACTCATTCAGACATTTCATTCTGTAAAACCAACTCAGATCAAAAACATGATACAATAAGGTCATTCCAAAGTGCAACTTGTTGGTTTTCAGGAACACTCAAAGAAATGAAGAGAAAATATTGTGGAAGTCAGTGCATGTTACTTTTATTTACCAAGCACAGGTAAACAAATATGGAAACACTCAATTCTGAGGAAAAAAGTATGGAATCACTCAAATTGGAGGTAGGATATAAGGACACACCCAGTCAATTTCCTTTCCCTAAATGGACACCTGCCTCAGATTAGATCTGCTCGTCAGTCTGCAGTTAAAATCACCTGCAGTCATGACACCTTGGAGGGCTGTTGGACGAAGTGGAGTGACAAGAACCATGACTCCAACAAGAGAAATGTCTCTTGAAACAAAAGAGAGGATTGTGAAATTTCTTGAAGAAGGTAACTCTTCACGCATGGTTGCTAAAGATGTGGACTGCTCACAGTCAGCTGTATCCAAGATATGGACCAAATACAAACAGCATGGAATGGTTGTTAAAGCCAAGTGTACTGGTAGACCAAGAAAGACATCAAAGCATCAAGACAAACAACTTAAGGCCATTTGTCTTGAAAACAAAACAAAAAAATACAACTAAACAGATGAAGCATGAATGAGAGGAAGCTGGAGCCAATGTATGTGACCGAACCGTAAGAAATCGCCCAAAGGAAATGGGATTTCAATACAGGAAAGCTAAAGGAAAACCATCATTGACACCTAAACAAAAAAGAACAAGACTGCAATGGGCTAAGGAGAGGCAATCATGGACTGTGGATGACAGGATGAAAGTTATCTTCAGTGATGAGTCAAGAATCTGCATTGGACAAGGTGATGATGCTGGAGCTTTTGTTTGGTGTCGTTCCAGTGAGATTTATGAAGAGGACTGTCTGAAGAAAACAACCAAATGTCCACAGTCCTTGATGATATGGGGCTGCATGTCAGGCAAAGGCACTGAAGAGATGACTGTAGTTAATTCTTCTATCAATGCACAAGTTTACATTGACATTTTGGACAGTTTTCTCATCCCTTCAATTGAACAGATGTTTGGAAGTGATGAAATCATTTTCCAAGATGACAATGCATCGTGCCATAGGGCAAAAATAGTGAAGGCATTCCTTGGAGAAAGACACATTCAGTCGATGTCATGCCTGCAAATAGTCCAGATCTCAACCCAATTGAAAACCTGTGGTGGAAATTGAAAAAAAAAGGTCCACAAGAAGCTCCGACCTGCAAAGCTGATCTGGCAACTGCTATCAAAGAGAGTTGGCACCAAATTGATGAAGAATACTGTTTGTCACTCATCAAGTCCATGCCTCAGAGACTACAAGTCGTTATAAAAGCTAAAGGTGGTGCAACTTAATACTAGTGATGTATTTTGAAAGGTATTTTGATTATCTGTTCTTCATGATTCCATACTTTTTTCCTCAGAATTGAATGAGTCCATATTTTTTTCCCTGTGCTTGGTCAATAAAAGTAACATTCACTGACTTCCACAATGTTTTCTCTTCATTTTTTTGTGTTCCTGAAAGCCAACAAATTGCACTTTGGAATGACCTTATCAAGTTTTTGATCTGAGTTTGTTTTACAGAATGAAATGTCTGAATGAGTTCTAAGACTGGTGATTCCATACTTTTTGCCAGGGGTTGTATCTACCCTCAGGAGCTGAAACAGAATAGGCCTACAGCTTGGTAGGAAAAATTCATGTACCATTTACTGACTACTAAGGGTGCCTCAAGTTGCATTAGTGTTTACAAATGTTTACAAGTTAACAAATATGGATAATTTCTGAATGTCTTTCACATATATCTTTAAAAATGTGTTATTATTTTCTGTCTGCCAATTAAACATTACATAACAGGTGAAAACTAATTCAATGTGCGTGTAGAATTTTTAGGCTTAGTCAGGAATAATCGTGTTTAATGACAGCACCAAAAATAAATACTTTTTCCCCTATGAGACCTTTCCAAGGGCAATACACCTGAACCATAGGCAATTTCTCAAGTTTGTTTTTAATGTAGTAAAAAGTAACACATGAGAACACTTATCAAAGAGTGTTGTGGCTCCATGTAGGTTCTTGTTTGCCACTTACCTTGGATATCAGGGCTTTTGACGAGGTAAACCAAAGCCCACATCAGAGTGGTGGATGTTGTTTCAGTTCCAGCCAGAAAAAGGTCCAGAGAGACCATCACCAGATTGTTCTCTGTGAAGCCCAGGTCCGAATCCTTGTGCTATTTAAAAACACTTACTAGTTAATGGCAGATAGCTTAACAGAAATTAAGGTGTTTTGAAGTTAAATAATGCTTTTGGAGTTACATACATTTTTCATTTCAGTAAGGAAAGCGTCTATGTAATCTCGAGGATTGCTGGGGTCCAGGTCCGTCTTGTGCTTTTCTATCTCCTTACTCAGGAAATCTTGTATAGTTGTGTAATTACTGAATATTCTGTTGTGAGGACCCGGCAGGTAGTACATCACTTTAGGAAAACTCTGATAGAGCTGCTCAGAACAAAACAAGTGATAAAAAAACAAATAAAATATCAGTCAAAACCAATGCTTTGATTTTTTTCATGATAAACATCTGATTTCTTAAGGCTTTTTTTACATTAAAGGGATCCACGATTAGTTGTAACATTAGACTTTATTTAATAAATATTTATTTTAACTGTAAAATAAGACTGTAAAAATACTGTAGGCTGTTTAGTTTTGTAAAAATTTTTAAAATATATTTTAACATGGATGGAGCCATTTTATTTACACACAAAGCATTCTGGGTAAATGATGACGTGGATAGGTCATCGGTGTGAGCGAGCTATATCCACCCTGAAGGTTAATCTTGGACAATATCTGATGATCGACTCTTTTAAATGGAACCAGAGAGCGTTGACAGAGAGGAGAAGGTAGAAATGACTCAGCCTGTAACTGAAAATATGGATGAAGGACAACAGAGCTGCTTCATGGAAGAAGAACCTCAGCTTAGCCTGTTAGCCTTCATGCTAGAATCGGAGACATTCGATTCAGTTACTTCATTAGACAATATTAATATTTACATTTAAAGACAGACTGGGTTACTGGCTGACACCTGCTCCTTAACGTGGCGGGTGGAGTGGGAAGGATTAGTCAAGGGCAATATCAAAGTGATATTGCAAGGGCAACTTTATGCCTTTATTTAAAGGCATAAAATGAGAACACTCAGTGTATTCCTATTGTTGCGTTCAGACCAAACAATTTGAGCATCAAGGGCGTCTGGTTTACATGCGAAGTCTATGGTTGACACCCATCAAGGGGTGTCAGGAAGTGACTGGGCCATAAAGGCTAATGCAAACACGCTGAAGCCATGCCGGCACAGGCCATACTGTGCAAAATTGCCTTTAATGATCCTCCATCAACATCAAACTCACTTGACCCCATACACTCCCCTCCAACCAAATTGCATCCGCCATATACTTCAGCATGATCTGAAAGGTGTGGTCGCTGTAGTCATATCTTTTCCCCATAACCAGCTGACAAATAATGTTGGACACAGCATTGTTGAAGAGACCTGCTGGAGTAAAAGGTTCTCCTGAAACAGAGAAAGAAAGGAACACAGGTTTAAAAGGGCTGCTTCTTACATTATTATGAACTAACTGCACAATACAAAGAAAACAAAGCATATTTCATTCACCTTTCTCCCTCTCTAGTTCCTCCTGCAGGTATCGGATCTCTTCACAGATGCTCTCTTCCAACATGCTTTTACCCAGACCAAAGGTGCGTAGGGTAGACAAAGCAAAACGCCGCTGTCTCTTCCATTTTTCACCATTGCTCATGAACACACCAGCTAGTTACAAACATAGATGAACAAGTTAAATATGTAAACCATACATATAGAATACGTGAAGAAACAGGAAGTGATTTTACACCTTCAGGTTCAATGTAAAACCTTTCAGCTATAGCGTTTGGTGGTCGATCCACAAAGTTCTCCGCTTGATTCACTATGGCTTCCTTCACCGTCTTGTAGCCAAACAGAACCACTATTGTATCCCGACCAAACCGAACTTTGAAGACATTCCCGTAAATTTTAGCCAGCTGTGGAATACACAGTTAAATGAAACAAATGAAAACACAACATCACAGGAACAGGGGCCCATTGTGCACAAGTCAGATTAATAAACTTTCAGGATACCACCAGGAACAATCCATTCTAGGGCCATCGCCTAACAACAGGCTTGATTAGCTCTATTGTTCGTAGAGGGTCATGTGCCCCATCACCTGGCTTATTGGTTTGGATGCTTCAGTTGTGGTTCTTTGGTGTCATATTATGTGTATATAGTGAGTGCAAGGAAAGTCAAGCCATGCTTAAAGAGCATGGGTAATTCAAGCCAGGTGTTGTAGTTCACAACAACTCACATTAAGGGACACACTCTGGACTTATTATGTTATTATGTTCAGAGTAACATCAAGAACATCAACCAGGAAGTTCTCCTTTCTCAGATTAATAACAATTTCTCCATCGTTAACTCAACTAACCTAGATGATCTAGTCTCCACCTACTACAGTGGTCTCACCAACATCCTAGACTCTCTTGCTCCTCTTAAAACCTGTTCTGTTTCCTTCTCCACTTCTGCTCCATGGTTCACCTCAGAACTTCGCTCCATGAAAACACAAGGTCGCAGACTAGAGTGACTCTACAAGAAATCAGGTCTTACAGTTCACAAAGAGATGTACATAAACCACACCCTACAGTACAAAGTATCACTCAGGCCAAATCAAACTACTACACTATCATCAGTTCCAACGTAGGCAACACACAGACTCTTTTCTCTCTCCTTAACAGCACAGTTTCATCTCTGAACTCTCTACCCCCTCACATGTTTTCTACTGACTACTATAACTCCCTCATGTCATTATTCACTGAAAAAATACGCTCCATACACCAATACCTCGGACCAAACTCTGCCTCCAACATCTTTATAGAACTCCCACCCCCCCTCCATCCCCCTCACTGTGTTCGATCTCCCCTCTGCTGCTGACGTATCTGCCATCATTAGGAAGTCCAAATCCTCCTCCTCACAGCTAGATCCCATCCCCACAGCTTTGTTTAAATCCTGTCTCCCCTCTCTGCTTCCTATCATCATTAACATCATACACTCCTCTCCTCTCTGACCACTGGTACTGTTCCCACAGCTTTTAAATCGGCTGCCATCATCCCCATCATAAAGAAAACAGGTCTAGATCCAACTAACTTCAATAACCTCCGTCCCATTTCTAATCTGCCCTTCATCTCCAAAACTCTTGAAAAGGTCGTCGCTAATCAGCTACGCTCACACATCTCCAGCAATAACCTCTATAAACAGTTTCAATCGGGTTTTCGACCACATCACAGCACCAAAACTGCTCTTATTAAAATTACTAATGATCTTCTCCTTGCTGCTGACTCAGGACTTCTGTCAATACTCATCCTCCTTGATCTGAGCTCTGCCTTTGACACCATCTCTCATCCTATCCTCATCGACAGACCAGCCTCTATCGGCATCTCAGACACCCCCTGGACTGGTTTAAATCCTATCTTTCTGACCGCATTCAGTTCATACAACTCAAGTCCTTCTGCTCCCAGTCTTCACCCATCTCCACCGGTGTTCCCCAAGGTTCTGTACTCTGGCCTCTACTTTTCATAATCAAACTGCTCCCGCTTGGCCACATCTTCCGTAAATTTGGTATCCATTTCCACTCTTATGCCGACGACACTCAACTCTACATTTTAACAAAACCGAACTCCACCTTCTCATCTTCCACTCTTATCGACTGCCTCAGTGAGCTCAACAACTGGTTCTCTAACAATTTCCTCCAACTAAACAATAACAAAACTAAACTTCTACTTGTTGGGACAAAAAACTCCATTTCCAAATCCCAGCATCTTAGCTTGACTCTTAACAACTCCGTTCTTTCCCCCTCGCCTCAGGTCAAGAACCTAGGTGTCATCCTTGACACCACACTCTCTTTCAACTCACACATTAACAACGTGACTCGATCTGCCTACTTTCATCTTCGCAGCATTAACCGTCTCCGTCCTTCACTTACCCCCCGCTCCACTGCCATCCTTGTACACATAGTAACATCCAGGATCGACTACTGCAACTCCCTACTGTTTGGCCTCCCCAATAAATCTCTTCACAAGCTACAGATGGTTCAGAACTCAGCAGCCCGTGTAATCACTCAAACGTCATCCTCTGCCCTCATCACTCCAGTCCTACAACAGCTCCACTGGCTCCCAGTTAAACCCCACATCACTCCAGTCCTACAACAGCTCCACTGGCTCCCAGTTAAATTCCGCATCATCTTTAAAATTCTCCTACTCACCTTCAAAGCTATCCATAATCTTTCCCCTCATTACCTGTCTGACCTCCTGAACATCTCCACACCCTCCAACTCTCAGTACCCCCTGCCCGCCTCAGCACCATGGGGAGCAGAGCTTTCAGCCGCTCTGCTCCACAGCTCTGGAATTACGCAATACCACCTCTCTCTCCCTGTATAAGACTGGCCTGAAGACACATCTTTTCAAATTAACCTACTGCTGTTCATTCCTCTTTTCAATATACGTCTGTTTTTGTTGTCCACACTTCTATGTTTCTCCCCCCACAACCCCATTGTTAAATGTGTCTACATTTTTGTATTTTATTATATGACTGCTCTGTACTCCGTATTTCTGTTTCTCCCACACTACCTTATGTACATACCCTATATGTATCTACATTTTTTTCCTTTTCTATTGTACAGTGTCCTTGGGTGTGACAGCCAGCTGAGGGAGTTTTATTGGAGTTGCATGGTTCAGACAGTCCCAACTTAAAAGCAACGAGAACCAGACCCGACGAATTGGGGAGCTCTGGATTTATACCATCATTCTGCATCATCAGATTAAACCAGGAGGCTTAATCTTAGAAGGCTTTTCACATACACACACATTGGAGACCTTTATCAACTATTTCCTGGAAATCAGCAGACCTCACTGTTCCCGACAATTTGTACGGGCTGGGCTTCCTCTCTGGTATAAAAGCACATACTTTGTAATACTGTACACACTAATGACAGCAAACATTTGAACTCGTGTTTTTACCAGACTGTCCAGCCAAGTATTTGTACTTTTCTTAATCGTTCTGGACCAAATATGGCAAGCTGTTTTTAACAGAATCTTGGCTGAAACATCTGGACTAACAAACTCAATGAACCTGCTACTTCAGTGTAAACTGTCTAGGAAGAATACAGGTTCATGTTTGGCTGTAAGACCCACTGGATGGAACACAGATTTCATGATCACAACGTGCAGCAAGATGAGTTAGTCCCATTTCTCTCCAGCAGAGCAACGGTTAATCACAGATCATTAGAACAGAATAAAAAACTAATTTAGGTTTTTTTTATGCTTCGGCAGTTATTGACAAATAAAACAAATGATTATTGCACCAAAATTATAAGAAAACTTCTAATCGTGTTATTAATATTGAATTTTGTTTTAAAAAGTTGTTTAATGTCAAAATGATAGTTATTTACATAGATGTCAACCCCTTCAGATAAGGTGTGTGTGTGGGGG